CGCCTCCCCCCCCACACACACAAAAAAAAGGAAGCAATAACACTAGTGAAAATGAATGCACTGTCACTGCTGCCAGTCCCGCTGTTGATGTCTTTGTTGTTGTTGTTGTTGTTGTTGTTGTTGTTGTTGTTGTCGTCCTTACTGATGCATTTACCGTCAACCACGACCGCGTTGTCTTCGTTAAAGCTATTGATGACGACGTTGTTGTTGATATCATCATTGTATATTAATTTGATTGCTCAACATAAGATAGATGCCCCCAAGGGGAGGCGGGTAGTTTAGGGTTTCACATTTTGCTTTGACCTACTTGTTGGGGGATTGATGAACATGTGTTTTGTTAGGATAACGCTTCATGGGTTGTAGGTCAATCCTTCCCTTACGCAGGGAAGTAATCAATGCCTCAGCTCTTTTCTGAGATTAGGGTTGACGTGTCAACACAGAATAGGGATGCTGGTCCCGATTTCCAGCTCATACGTATCACATCTGTGTGACGCTAGGGTTTTGTGTCTTGGTAGAGTGACATATCTCCACAGCACTTTACAGGGACGCTGGAGCTGATTTTCAGCTGAAACACATCATAACGTTGAGGGACGCTGGACCCGATTTCCAGCAGGTGCAGCTCCCCACCAATAGATGGAGCCTTCGTCGCAGGGGCCTACTTAGCAGGGCTGCTCTTATCACCTTGTTAAGTAGGTTTCCCACATGCAAAGTTCAAAAAAAAAAAAACAAACAGAGATCCGAGGAGGAAACCCTAACCAATCATATTTCCATTATGATGCCGAGCAGAGGCAGATCGCCCTTCTCAATTGAAGTTGCGGGCCGGGCAATTTCAATCTCCTTCGACTATCCTACCCCCGCCCTGAACCGGACAGCAATAAGCAATTCCATATCGACATTGAAAGGGGGGAGGACAGAACCCCACTTTGTTTCAGCCCCAATCCCCTTCCCACTGTCCACGCCAGAACCTGGCATCTCACTCACCATACTGATAGTGAAAATGAGTGCACGGTCACTGCTGCCAGGCCCGCTGTTGATGTCTTTGTTGTTGTTGTCATTGTTGTTGTTGTTGTCGTTGTTATTGTTGTTGTTGATGCTGACGCCGGGGGTTTCATCATCTTCGTTTGCTCCATCCTCCTGGCAGACCTCATCCTCCATATCGTTATCGCCCTCCGGCCGTTCCTCAAACATACAGCACAGGTTGCGACCCTAAGTGAAGAGGGCATAGCAAGCGGACATCATGCCATCAGCCTTCCTCCAATCGATACAGGCTTCGAGCTGGGGATCCGGCCCCTTCTCCACCATCCAGATAATATTCAGCATGTCTTTGGTCATATCTTTCAACCATTTGGGCAGAGAAATCGGTCCCCCTTCGACAACTCCCCCACCATCATCTGTGACCGCCTGCACCCCTTCTCCAAGGTTCTTAGCCATTGTCAGCTCCCCGTTGTAGCTCCCCTACCAACTCCATTTCGTGAACGCACCGTCAGATCCAAAAGATAGGCACCTCACACCGACGTACCGTCTCCTGATGTGCCCGGAGGGAGATCCACCATCACCTGGGCGAGACGACCAGGCGGACACCAGGATGACTAAGGGTAGCGATGGCGAATCACCACTACCACCCTAGTCTACAGAGTATGGTTGGGCCTCGCTAGCCGGTCCGTAGCGCAGGTTAGCGCCTAATCCCCCTTTTTTTAATTATAGCCGGAAGCCGGGTCCCATGTCCCTTACAAGAAGCAACCTTTATTGCATGATCCGGGCACTCCGTCCAGGTTCATGCCCCGGTCGTGGTCACAAATCAAACTAAAAAAGAAAAAAGAAAAAAAAGCACATGCACAGGGCCTCGTTCTA